CTTGTGTTTGTAACAAGGTTTTTGCAAACTTGAATTAGATGCCAGAATTAGGTAGGGAAAAGTAAAAAGAGGCAGTTTTTTTCGGACTTATTTTTTTCAACCCTGGTGATTGAACCCAGGACCATCATGCTGAGCTACATGTGTCGCACATGTTTGGTTTTTTTTTAGTTTGAAACAGGGGCTTGCTAAGTCTCTAAGTTGCCCAGCCTGGGCTCAAACTTGCTAACCACTTTCAGGGTTCCAGGAAATTTCCTAGGTGTGGTGGGAGCTGGTGAGATGAAGACACAAGCCTCCCACCCACATACAAGGTGGTTCCTCTTTCCATCTAAGAGTAGCCCCCAACCTGTCTGGGTTCTGCCTCTGCCAATGACTTGCTGTGTGACCCTGGGCAAATCCCCTGCCCTCTCTGGGCCTCAATCATCTCACCGATAAAATGAAGGTGGCTTCAATCACAAGGTTTCTGCTAGTCCTATGGTTCTATGGGCCTATGAATGATCTAGAATTCCCAAAGCAGGATCTCTGCTTGGCACTGGGACTCGAACTTCCCCAGAGAAAGAGGCCTAAGGGTCCATCACCAAGGCTCTTTACTCTCTAACTCCTCTTCTGTGTTATCAGATGACCCATCGTGACTCAGTTTCTCTGCACCTAGTGGGAGATATCTGTTGCCTGGAGGGCCACTCTCTCTTCTTCCTAGGATGTAGCCAGAGGGAGGCTTCCTGATCAATGGGAGCCCCAGGGACCTTCCACCTGCAACTCCACCCAAGCACCAACATCCAGGGTAGCCTAGGAGGACTGAGCTGCAGAGGAGCCATGGGCACTGCTGCTCCAAAGACAGCCGCCCAGTGTTGCGGGCACCTCCCTGCTCCTGCAAACTACCAGGACTCCATCTAGGGGAAAATAAAGGCCCCAGCAAACCAGCGGCCAGGAGCCACTAAGATTCTGGTGCCTAGAAGGATCTCCTCCTCTGTAAAGGTGGGCTTCTCCAGACACCCCCACTGGTTAAAAAAACATAAGCAGAAAAGAAGGGACTAAGGATAGAGCTTAGTGACAGCACATTTAGCACGCATGAGGCCCTGGGTTCAATCCTCATTGTCTCGAAACAGAAAAAAGAAAAGGAAGCCGAAACTTCTCACTGTGGCCTGCCACATCATGCCTGAGCATCCAGCCTGTCCCTCTCTTTCCAGCTTCCTATGCTGTACCATCTACCTCCTCTCGAGTACTGACACTCCCTCTTCCCCACCAATGTTCCTGCTTTCCTGTTTTCACAGAATTTCTCACTATCTCACATCATCTCAGCCATTGGTTGCCTTGTTTACTGCTTCCCACCCTCAACTCCCAGGATATAAGCACCCTGCAGACGGACACACTGACCATCTTGTCCAGTGCTGTGCCCAGTGATGATCATAGCTATGAGACTGGAGCCCCAAATCAGGAAGAACCGTGCTCTAATCTTGGCCTTCCCATCTACCAGCTTTGTGAGCTCAGCCAGGGTACTTAACTTCTCTGACCTCACTTCTCACATCTGGAAAATGGGACTAAGTGACAGTACCCCCTTGTCAGGGAACTTGTGCTGATTGGGGGAATCCCAAGGGATCTTTGGACAAGTACAAGCTCCATCCACTCTGCCTGCCCTGGAGAGCTGAGATTATCCTTGATGTGGGTTTTCCCCTGGGGATAGCGTGAGCTGTGACACCTTCCACATTCATCTTAGCCACTGTTGTGAAGGGGATTACGGGCATCCTTACCTCAGTGAGTTTCAAGTTCTCCTGGTGCAGATCAAAGACAACACAAAGCCCCACACACATATGCAGGGCTTATCATCATTATCACAGAAATTACAGCCATTCCCTCTGCTTCCCCCGTGCTCCCAGAGCACCACTACTGCAGCATTTAACGAAGGCAATTACTGCCGCGGGAGGCTGTGACTCACACTCGGTCCGAGAAGCGGGTCTTCCAGAGCCACAGCAGGTTGGTCCCCAAGTGCAGGGTGCTCACAGCCCTGCAGGGGCTCAGAGCCCAGCGGGTCCCTGTGTGTCGGTCAGAGGGAAGGAGGGCCCTGTGGCCCCGGAGAGCCATCTCCCTCTGGGTGTCACTGGACATCATGACCCACACAGGGGTCTTTCCGAAGGATAAAGGTAGGGATAGCCACACAGCCGCATCTCCAGGCTCTGTCTCCCATCTTTTCAGGGAATTCTCTGGAAAACCACCTTGGGTTGGGACATGAAGTCACTTCATGAGGCGAGGTGCATGAGAGATGGAGTTAACTGCCGGTGGCTTTCTTCTATGCAATTGGAGCTTACCAGGTGACAGCATGGTTGTCCCCAAGATGAATCTGTACAGCAGTGTATGTAAGATTTCAAAAGTCCTTTTCCCAGAATCGGGAGGGCAAGGATGGGGCATAGGAGCAGAGGCAAAAGGCCCCGGCAGTACCTCGAGACCCACACAAGGCTCTGGGGCAAAGCGAGTCCACTCACCCGGCTCCCACCCAGCCCTTCATGGATCCCAGATCCAGGCCGTCTGAAAAAGTGCCCGATTCCAGAACCTGAGGGACCCGTGTTCTGGGACCACAGAGTGGAAACACCCTGGGATGGAGGTGTCCCCGTGTTCTCTGCCTGAGTCCAAGACCTGTCCTTTTCCTGCTCATCAGAGGACAGAGTTTTTTCTTGAATATAAAGTTCCAATCCTACTTCCATTCACAAAAATTATTCCAAGCTCTCCATTTTTCCATCTGGGAAAATTTCCCCATCTCCCCCTGGCTGACCTTGAAGAATAGTGCATACAGTTTCCTCAGCTATGCGTTCACTTTCTGCTGTTTAAGTTACCCAAAGCTGACCATGGTCCCAAAATATTAACATTAGTCTGGACCCTTTCCAGAGAGAAAGAGACTGTGTTCACATAGCTTTTATTATCAAGTATTGTTGTAATTGTTCAATTTCACAATAATTATTCTCCATTTCATACCATGCCTAATCTATGGATTAAACTATATCATAGGACATATGTGTAGGGAATATATAGTATATACGGGATTTGGTACTATCTGAGGTTTTAGGCATCCACCCATTGGGGGCGTTGGGGGACTAGTATAATTTTTTTTAGCAGTAACGGAGATTGAACCCACAGCCTTCACACTGAGCTATCCCCAGCCCTTTTTATTTCACACATGTTGAGATGGGGTCTTGCTACATTGCCTAGGCTGGGCTTGAACTTGTAATCCTCCTGCCTCAGCCTCCCAGAATGCTAGAGTTATCTTCTAGGAGACCCAGAGCTATGACAGGTGATTAACTCTGAAATGTGGGCTTTGGTGGCAGAAGCCACTATCTGTTCTGCAGAGTCCACAAAGCCGGGTTCTGTCTCACCCCGGTGGAGGCACAGAGCACTCCTCCCCTCCTGCCCCATAGCCAGCAGGACCAGCATTCAGTCAGGTGGTCCACTTCCGCTTTCCTTCCCATCCCAAAGGATGGAGATCAAGGGCAAGCGGCCAATATCCTGACAGTAACTCCTCCTGCACCTCAACAGGCACAGGGCACGGAATGTTCTAGGACAAGCTTGTGTGCTGGCTCCCTCCGCACCCTGCCCAAAGCCCATCTCCACCACCTATGGCCCTCAGCAGTGATGCTAAACTGGGCCTTCAGAAGCTGTGAGCAGCCACACAGCAGAATCCCTACCATCAATGTAGCAGCTAAATATTGTAAGACTCCTAACTCCCCCATCTGTGTTTTGCCTCCCAAGAGGGAAAATAGTCTTCACAGACATTCCCTTATCTGGCAGGCAAATTCTAAACCTTACTGGCAACCGCAGGCTTGTTTTCCCAATCAAACAGCTATGGAACCAAAAATTGTTCCTGCCTGCGATATGCCGATGGGGGACCTAGCCAAACCGCTCAGCCTGGAGGGCCAGGGCTGTCCCCACCGTGAGAGGAGCCCCAGTACTCCAGGAAGTTGCTGGTGCCAGGGGAGGCCCACTTGTCCGCTGGTGGCAGCTACACCGGCTGGTGTTCGCTGCTCCTTTTTCGTAACGCGGAATACACCCACCAAGAAGCTGCTGGAAAACACTCACCGCAGTGTGAAATCAACACTTTCTAACTCAAATAAAGGGGGTAAAACAGGGAACACGTCCAACCCTTTTGCAGCAGTCATTTTTCTCCTGCCAGATCACATCAGGCTGGGGCACCACCAAGCCCTGTCTGTCCCCCGGCTCCATGCATACCTCGAAGCCCCCAGACCCTTGCTTTTCATTTCCTGGTATTTCTTTGCATTTTTCCTGGCCCTTCGCATTCTACACACCAGAGCCCTGCACCTGTGCTATTGCTAATAAACCAATATCGGATGATAACTGTGGAAGACTAATTGATAGGAGCCTTTATCGACTGGCCTTGATGTCTATCTGAGGTTCTCAACAGCCAAGATTTAAATGTTTCATTTTATTTTTAACTTTCACTTTTCCACATTTCAGCAATGTCAGGCAAAGAGGTATGGTTTTACTATCAGAAAGAATCATGGTGCAGAATAATTTATGACTTCGGCTTGGGCTTTCAGAAAAGCTATTTCAAATCTTCACTTTGATTTGGTTGTATCAAAACTACTCAAAATAACAGCAGCATTTTCTTGGAACTAGAATATGTTAGCAGCACCTCAGGATTTTGAACTGAAGCCTCGTCTTTATCCCAGAAGAAAACTTCAGAAAGGAATTAAGCCACGAAGGGGAAAATAACACTTCCGCATGATCCTTTTGCTCCTCCAGCCCTCCTTAACAGTCTCCAAATGTACCCAAACCGCAAAGGAGTGTCAGTCCCTGTGGGAAAGGGCCCACCGGTCACCACTCACCCAAGGCACACTGGGTGGGTTTGGGAATCCCACTGGGTCAGGAGGAGGCTGGGAAGAAGCCCTTGGCCAGCACAGGGAGAGGTGCTTGGTTTGGATTTGTGTTAGGCCCATAAGACAAAACAGAAGCAAATGAAGTATGTCCAGGGCAAAGAGTTCCAATCTTGTAAGACTTACCTTAGCAGCTTAACTGCATACTTGTCTTAAGGACTGTCAGTCTGGTGAGAAAATACTCCAGGAAGGAGGCTGCTGGTTCAGGCACTGACAGATTGCCAGAGGGGCGTCCCAGCTCCCTATCACAAAAGGAAATAGAGAAAGAAACGATGTAAAGTGAAATGTAACAAATTCACCAAATCACAGCAATATGCAGAGGTCAAGGAAATTCAACGGAAAAGGTTAAAGATGAAATCAAATCCGGTGTATGAGAATGGAAATCCATCCCAATGCAAGGCCACCAGTGACGTGCGGTAGACAAGAAGCTAAATACTGCCTAGCACTGGGATCTTTCATTTTCATCAGATCAATAAAAGCTTATATTTATCAGGATTCCAAGCAGCTGCCACTTCTGACAACCTCCACTTTATTTTCTCACTCCTTGCGCTGTATCAGGGCAAAGAGGAGAGGAGAAGCAGCTTTTAATGCTATTTACACCTGAAGACACAATTCCATTAAGAGGTCCTGTTTTGTTAAAGAAACAGGGATTGATATGATGATATTGGCAGGAGCGGGAAATCTCTTTGTTCTTCTCCCCATGTTTTCCCCTTTGCAATCCAGACCCAGCAAGAAGACTGCCTGACACCAAGTCCACGTGCAAATACTTTTTTTTGTTGTTGTTCAAACTTCCCATTTACAGAGAGAGGGAAGGCTCTCTGCTAAAACAGTTACCACTCTAATCATCTGTACAACAATATTTGCTATCAGGCATTCTAAATAGATTATCACCAGTCCATCTGTGTCATTATTGATTTATAAGGCTTTAAGCAGCTTTCGAATGCAAGCTTTCCCACTGAGGGGTTCCTTGTATAAACCAGAGCTGTGCTCAAATATAGCAGCCATCACTCAAGATATTGTTCTTAAAATCATAACAAGAAGGGGAAAATGATAAATTGCTTGTAATATACTGATCCAAACTGATATGCAAATCTTGTTTTTTAAATATATTACTTGAGTAAAAAGAGGCATCATTAACATATGAATGCTATATGCAAATGATAGTCATAGAGCAGATGTTGGCGCATGTAATTGACCTATATGTGAATTGCATCAGAACCCTTAACTCTATTAATTCACTACCCAGTAACTAGATATTGTCCAAAAAGTACATTCTTTGAAACCATATACTGGAAGCAATGCTGACAGGGTTCCAAGGATTCTGAAACAAGGTCACTGTCACTAGTATTTTGCTGTCATCTGCATTCCCCTTCTTATGGATGACATCATCATGTGGCCGTGTAAATCGATCACTTAATAGCATTTGGAAAATACTGCAGTGGGGAACAGGTTATAAAAAAAATGCCCCAGTTTTATTCTTTTTCTTGGCAGAAATGTCATACCTCTTAAACTGAGGGTTTGTGCATGAGTGCACTGTGAAACACACAGATGCCATTTTATTCCCTGTCTTTATTTTTCCACTTCTTCTCAGAATGACATTAAATTGTATTAAATAGCCTTTTGTCCACAGGGCACAGACCACCCCGCATATGATAATGTATTAATGCCCCACGTTCCAGCCACTGAGCTGAAACATTCTGAGACTTGGAGGATAAGTATGAAGCACCATTGTGTGTATAGCCTGCTAACAACTGTGACACATACTAATAGAAACATACCTAATAAATTACTGCTTTCAGGTCTAGCAAGCTGACATTTCTCTGCAAGGGACAATTTTATATTTGTGGCACAGAACAAAATTGCTTCATATGAAGCCACTGTGGATTAGCATAAAAATTAACACTTAAATTTCAGCTTATTTTCCACCCTCTCCTCCTGCCACAACAATCAATTCCTCTTATAAATCTGATTAGATTTTATGATGCTTATTATTCAGAGCATGTCTCAACACAGCATTCACAGGCTTGAAGACTATTTGTTTAAATAGAAAAAAGAAGCAGATAAATCTATAGGTATTTTTTATTACCCCATTCCCCACCAGTTTCTTTCTCATATTGTAACATCAGTAATTGATTGCACACATTAATTAACATGTAAGGTAGAAATTCTGCATTATGCATGATTTATTTTCCTATCTGGTGAGTCGGTTTGTCTGCTGCCCTTGTGTTTCTAGGACATTGGGCTCGATTCTGGTCCAGACATAAATGCCAATGCTCATTCCCCCTGAAAGTTATTAATGTCAGATATGAAATGAGATTTTTGATTTCACCTGCTTACTAATCCACAAAAGCTGTTTTGAGTGATGCAGGCTTAAACGCTGAAATTTGAAATGATATATTGCTATATCTGATAACATGCAAATATGTTCATTAGACATAATTTAGCAGGAGAGAGCAGCAACACTTTTATAACAAGCCTAGGTCAAAAATGGTTGTTAATTAAAAAGTCATGAAAAATGGCACTACAAGGATACTGTCCGGCAGACACCAGACTTTCTCATGATTGGAGCAGATAAACACCCAATGCTTTGCACTAAAATGGAGAGAGACGGGGGCAAAAACTTTCTGAGCCTCTCACTATCTAAAGCAAGGTTAACAAAACTATACCCACATTAAAACCGCAAATGGATCACACATTCTACTTAGATTTTAATGGTGACACACTATACTTCTCCATTTGAAGATGTGATTTTACTTTCTGTCTTAGTGGCTTAAAGTGATTTATATGGTTGACTCCTTCACAAATAAACCAGAAAAGAAATTAATTTTACATCCGGCCATGCTGCTGGGTTTTGCCCTGAGTGTTTATGGCTCTGTATTTTAAATCAAATAGAGTAATAGACAAAAAACATGGTTGGCTGTTGAGGGCAGGGTTGGGGGCTGAGGTGGGAGCATAGACTCAAGAAGGAACTCCAGGTGTCCGTGGTTTCTTCCTTTTCCTATAGCCCTGCGTGTACACTTCTGTTACCTAGGGAACTGGAGTACAGTCAGGTCTCTTTCCATTGGCTGTGAGTGTTGTGGGGAGACTCAGATGCACAGGTAAGACAGGCCACCTGAGCTTGGCTTCTTAGACTGAGGCTTCCTGAGTGACTACCTAGGAGGAAGACAATACCTCCAGAGGTAAGTACAGGATAAGGAGGGCTATGATAGTTTCCAGCTTGCCACCCACACCACCTTCTTTCCACAGCGAGACAGCATTCATACTATGCTAAAGGCTGAAACCATCATCAGGAACCAGCAGGTGCCCATGCCAGACTGCATGTGTGGAAGCCACTAGTTGACACTTTATTTATCCAGAGAATCCTTGCAGTCAGTTCCTTGAATACAGGCTGCAAAGCAGGAAGGGCACACAGATGCACTAGGAGTCACATGCAGCAAGGAGAGTTGAGTGTGAGCATGCCGGTAATTACAAAGAAGTCCACACTCCAGCCTTCAGAACATGCAGCCTTTCTTCACGATGCCAGCACAGGGGTTGACAAAGGTGATGTTTCTGTCCCTCACTCATCTGGTGGTGGCAGAAGGCCCTTCCCCAATCATATTGTAGCTACGTGGGCAACATTCTCATTCTTGGCCTAGCTTGAAATCAGCATTATTACTATTGCTAGAAATCCTAATCTTTAAATTGAGTTTTATGATTGCTGTGCTTTCAAATACAAGGTCTCAACTAACGGAACCAGAGGGTAGTATTCCTCCTGTCCACTTCTAGCAATGATATGAAGTTCAAAAACAGAAAACAGATAGACTCTTCAGTGGGAGGAGCAAGGATCTTGAATTCTGTTCGGCTCTCAGTGCTTTCTTATTCCCACTATACCCACCACTGTCCTTCCATGCAGGCTCCTCATGTGACACTCTAACCTGATGCTCTCCCACTACCCTGATGCTCCTCCCACTACCCTGATGCTCCTCCTCCTCCACCCTGGTGGTCTCCTTCCCACCCATCTGCTCCCTGGACTTGGCCATTGCTTGCTTCCCCTTGGTGATTCTCCTAGTTCCTAGCTTCCAGCAATTAAAAGAGGTCCCAGGGTACAAGAAGACCTGTTGGGAGAACCCAAGAAGATCCACCAGTTCCCTGACCATGGAAAAAGCTGTCGGAAGACTTGGAAGGAGTCCTCAAAGACTTCAGGACACAAATGACACTTGCATCCCACTGTCATAGTGGATGAGTTCAGCTTGCATCTCTCATAGGCCAAAAGCTCCTCCCAGAGTCCCTGTGCTATTTGTCCAACTCCATGTGTCTATACATCCAATGACAAGTAATTCCCAGTGTCTACTATGGGTTTGACTACTATACATTCTTCTAGAGGCTTTAATTCATCTCCAAGTGATTTATTTGCTGAGCCAATAAATGAGTTAACAAATACATATGTGACAAAATATGTGAATAAATGAATGAAAGCCTAAAAGCATACATGAATGGATGGATGAAGAGACAGAGTGAAAACTGAAGGAAAAAAGAAAGCAATAAGAACCAGGTTTGGTGAACGCACACCTAGAATCCCAACACTCTGGGAGGCTGAAGTAGGAGGACCTCAAATTGGAGCCAGCCTGGGCAACTTAGCAATTTAGTGATAACCTGTCTCAGAATTAAAAACAAAAAACAAAAAAAAACTAAAAAGGAATGGGGATGTAAACCAGTGAGAAGGCCCTGAGTTCAATCCCCAATATCACAAAAGAAAAATGGTAATAAGTGCTTGAAATAATTGGCAAATGCTCAAATACAATATGCAAATAAAATCTCTTATGAAGGAATGAAACAATATCAGTGAGCCCCTAATCAACAAGCACACATGAGCTCCTCTCACGTGGCCACCTAGCCGGCTGACATGAAAAGTGAGAAGATGCCGTCAGGAAGGTCCCTGCTCTTGTTACTGTTGAGGAATTTGGTTCCTGTCCTCAGCTTCAGCCAGTGGATTCTATACAAACCCTCACATGGTCAGAAGGAAGACAAAGGTTTTAAAACCATCACACCACAGCAATATATGTGCACCTATGTTTATAGCAGCACAGTTCGTAATAGCTAAAGCTTGGAAACAGCCCAAGTGCCCATCAACTGGAGACTGGATAAAGAAGATGTGGGGTTTTTTTATAAAATGGAATACTACTCAGCCACAAAGAATGAGAAACTAGAGACACTTATAGCTAAATGGATGCATATTGAGGCCATACTCTTAAGTGAAATAAAT